GGCGAGCGTGGCGGTGGCGGAGCCGCGAGGCGAGGGCAGGAGCGGCGCGGCATCCGCATCCGCATCCGCCGAGTGTGATGAAGCTGCCCTGCTGCGCCGCGCCGCGCGCCGCCAGCTGACACCGCCTGCGCTCAGCCCGCCCGGGAGGGGCGACGCCGCGGGCCGTGACCTTGGCCGAGGAGGTAAATGGAGGCGGCGGGCGGGAGGGGGCGGCGCCGCCCGAGTCCTCCTGCTCCAGCCCGCGCCCCGGTCTGCGCAGCAGGGCGGCCGCTCCTGGAACCCCGCGCCGGGCTGGGCTCGGGCGCCGCGCGCTCGCCGCGCTCCGCGGTGCTGAACCTGCTGCGGGCTCCGGTCGCGCCGCTGCCATTGCCGCTGCCAGGCGAGCGGGAGAGGGAGCTGGGGCTGCCTGCTCCCTGCCTCGGCTGGCAGCCTGGACGCTTCTGCAGTTAGGTTTCTGCCTGGGTGAGTGAGGTAATTGCCCAAAGGCTTGACCTCCCTCCCACCAGTTCTTGGTGCCTGGACACCTTGGGATGTGTTCTTGCAAAGATTAGGCAAACTGCGCCCTGACCGACCAAGTGGAGTGGGGTGAGAGAGGAGAGGAGCCCCGGTTGGCAGCGGAGGCGGGTGAGAGTAGGCGAAGCGTACACCCAGGCGCTGTGTGGGAGAACCCGGGGAATCAGGAGGAAACACTTTGCTGGAGAACGAAGCGGGGAACGGGGCCTCTCCCATGCTCCTGCATGTGGGAAACTACACCCAAACCTGGGAGAAAGTGTCTGCCTTGGGTGCAGCCTGTCCACTCTGCTGGGAAAGCCTCTTCCAGTGGAGGTGTAAGTATTGGGAGAGCAGAGAAGTCTCAGTACTGTGGAATGGTAACCATGGGTTGCTAGGGTGAGCATCTCCTACTTTGTAAACGGAGTATCCAGGAAAGGAAGTCAACTAAAACCGTAGCCAAATGACTATATCTAACTGGAAGACTAATTTGTCACAATTCCCAGGGGCACTACAGGTGTAAACTCATTTGATTTATTTATTTTTAAATCTATGTCCTGCGTTACTTTCTCCAGCCAGATCCAGCTTGTAAGCATGCTCCTTGTGGGGTGGGCGCTGGAAATACGAAATGAATCAGGGCAGTAAGACCCCGTAAACACGACCAGGAGAATCTCACTGAAGTCTCTGTAACCCTTTGCAGGGCAGACTGGTAATTCTTTATCAGAGAGCTGACCAAGTTTTGGGTGACATGGCCCAGGGGAATAATTATGGGCAGACCAGCAATGGGGTGGCAGATGAATCACCCAACATGCTGGTGTACAGAAAGGTAAGAATTTCTTCATTTTCTTGGAAAATGGGTAACTTGTGACTTTCTTGACCTCCCCGTTCCCCTGTGGTAGTGTGTATCAACTTTGTGGCCTTGTGGCTTCCCAAATCACCAATGATGACATACTATCCTTGAAAATGGTCTGACATTCTCAAGTACACATATGTGTAGATACACAGGAAGTGAAGGAAGCCTCGCACATTCCTTGTTGATTTTACATAGATTAATCTGTCATTAGCAATAACAGCAAGTTTGGGCAGCATATATATATTTTATACATGATTTAATAATATCCATCATAATTTTTAGAAGTTTTGCTTATACTCCTTCTAAATATTTAGGTTATAATAATTAAATAAGCCTTACTACGTTTTAGAAATAAAAACAGACCACTTTGCAGTTCTGTAGCAAAAGTGATTGTATATGTGTGAATGTATGTGGTTTAATGATTTCACTACTACTAAACACCTGTATCTGTTGGGGTTTTTTTGGTGGTAGCCTTATTTTTCACTTATATTATTTCTATAATTTTTCTTATTTTACTTATGCAGGTATTTATATTCTAGTGTCATATGCCATTCAGAAAAGTGTTTATATTCTACAGGGTTTTTTTCCCCCACAAATAGATATGACAGCTTTATGCATGTAATAGCAATCCTGTCAGAAACAAACTTTAGATCTTGAGCCACTGTAATTAAGATGCATTTGGATATTGCACGTACTTCAGAGTGGTTGCTTAGGTAACTTCATTTTGGTTATAATCAACAATCTTACTCAAATTAAGGATGCAGTATCTTTTATGTAACTTCTGTACCAATTGTTTCTATTGCATTTTATACTGGAATAACTTTAGCATATTATGTGGACTGCTTATTGAGCAATATTTCTTTAGTTAACATCAACCATGGTAAAAAGGAAATCATACCTTGAAACTACAAAAATTGCTAAAGGTTTTGTTTAGAGGGAGCACATTGTAGTCCAGGATGAGCATGCATCTGTTTTCCCAGTGAGATCTGAGCTGCTCATGAATAAAGATTAAAGGCTCTGTGCCACCTTGACCTGCATGAAGTCAGAACTTTGTAGTCCAGAACCATTAAAGGTGATGCTTAATATGTGCTGGAGGGGAATATTGTTACTGCTTTAATGAGAAGATGCTTGACATCCTGGCATAAATAATGCTAGCTGTTTTATTCTCCAGCCTTGTGGATGGCACTGTTTTGTGTACCTGTGAATGCAGTTAGGTACGTCTGGGACAACATAGTATGATGAGAGGAAAAAAATTAGGGATTAGTTGATGATTTTAGTCTTTTTATCCAAATGGATAAATCAAGAAAATAATCCACTGGAGCCTAAATTATTACTATTGTATCCCTACAAGGATTGAAGTAACTGGATACTTGCTTGTTCTGTATAGATTTGGCACTGAGAAAAAACATTTTTGGTGGCAGTTAGTTGCTTTTAAATAAGTTAAACGATGTTCTGTTGTTTGGTCCAAATCTGAATATTGTTATATACAAGATGTGACAATTTAAAATTCTATCTTCTGGGTGTATTCAAGGGGTAGATATGGATTTCTGGATGGAAAATTATAGTGGTTGGATATTTTTTGTTAAGTCAAGTAACTGTACAGTGTTTGCTGTCGTTTTCCCTATAAAAGATGGATGAATGAATTGATTGGACATGTAACAGTTATCTTAACTAGAAATAAATGTAACATGACGTCAACTAACATGTCTAATTCAGTCAGTTGTCATGAGAACAAATAAAATAAGAAGGCAGGGATTTTAGAAAGAGTTATTTGATAATTTAGTGTACCTGGGTGTCATGTTGCTAATTTTGACTTTATAAATTGTTGTATAGCCTAAAATTGCTATTAGTTCTAGTCTTAAGTTAACAGACTAGGATGATTTCATGGAGAGAATTTAATACTTCATATTTTAAAGTACTATTGTTAGTTAAGCTTAGGACTGCTTGTGATAATCATTTTACCTTTAGTGACCTCTTTCTTTAGGGTTAATGACAAATATCCTTTATTTTTCAGGAAAAAGTTTTCCTGATAAATCATCATTGGAAAAAATAATCAGATCACTAAATTCTATATACAGTGCTCAATTGTCGATAATCCTTTCATTCTCTGTGGATATTCCCTTTTATTGTCTGAGCATATATTTTTGCTTTTGTTTGTGCTATACATAATAATTTATAAATAAATACCAAATACCTTATAAAGAAATGCACTTTCCTTGGTTATCATTTGCCAGTTACCAAGTCAGGCAGCCTATATTTTTGTGGACGCATACAGTGTGGCATTATGAATTTCATGTGACTGCTGAGCCCCTTGTATTTTGTATAGTTTTTCTATTTAGTATCTTCTTGGTAGAGGCCAAATTTTATGTAATTGGAGAAGGGTATAGGTTGAATATATATATATATATGTCTTTATATATATGGATATTTCACCTGATTGACCTTCATAAAAGAATAGGCATGGTATATTACAGTGCTTATAAATCAGGAAGTCAAGCAAAGGCTCGGAAAACAACTTTAGTCTTAGCAGTACATTGCTCAATAAACAGCAGAGAGTAGAGAAAGAAATTCTGTTTTATTGGCTCATGTAAGTTTTCTATTTCTACTTCATGTTGAAGTATAGTTCTTGAAAGTTGTTCTAAACAAGCAGCATTCCTAATATTCTCACTGCTGCTCAGGATTCTCATCCATACAGAAAGTAAGTATGTGATGCTTTCATTCTATCTCCATAGGCTTTGAATGAGTCTTACAAACACTCCTGGGAGACACAGGAAATAGTGAGTGTTTACAAATTGGGATAGACAGAAAAGCTGGATTGTGTGAATTTTTTCTGTTTGTCTAATGTCTCTCTCCATCATAATTATCCTCACATACTTTGCAGAGTTTCCTCCAAATAATGGAAAAATCCAGGGGCCTTTTTTCTCTGGAGAAGTCTCTAGTGATTGTAAGAGGAAAAATATCTAGTGAATGAAACTCATTGAGGCAGGGTGAATACAGCCATAGTGAAGGCTCCTGGCCACAGGAAAGCTGCCTCATGATCAGGGATGGTTACCTGCAAGTCAGTCTCAGATATTTTCGAGTAGCTTTTGGCTTAATATGAGAGTCTCTGTAAAGTTCATCTGATGTCAGAGGCACATTTTAAAAATCCCTCTGGATGAAGTATTTGCCTTACCAATTCTTTGATTTATCATACTCTCTTTTTTTGGTTAAGAGTGGTTATGTTGTTTTATTTATTTAGGTTGTCTGATTTAAAGGTGCATACAATTTTGAAGCCAAACATTTTTATTCTTGGTGATTTATAGGCTCCCTTCAGACAGGCCCTAACTAGATGGGAGCTAGAAGTAATTTCCTTGAGTTCAGCTAGTTCCGACTCACCTTGGATTCAGACCAGCTTCTTGAAGCATTTGGAGGTGACAAGTCAGAACTGAGTTTCATTTCGGGTTGATGGATCTTAAGCACTATTCCCGGTATCAGTCTGCTTTGGCGGAAACTCTTATTCATGGGGCAGCATTGGCTGTAAAGGATGGCCAAGCTGGAACCCAGAGTACAGGGAGTCACACTCCAGATTTGGTGTCTGGCCAGCATGCTGCCCCCTAGACAGTATACATCACTTCAGTCTTGCAGCTGACACTGTTATATTGGAGAAACAAAATTTCTAGGGCACCTTGGGGCCAGTATTTCAAGTGGGCTGTAGAGCTGGCTTCGCCCTAGCAAGAATGCTTAAGATGTCCAATAATTTCTGATATTATTTCAGCAACAATTGATGTCCCAGCTGTCAGAAAAGAAAATGAAAATGTTTTCCTCACTGATTATCTTCCTGGAATGAACATGCTTTTGGAAATAACAAACCTATCATGTTCACTGTACCTCTGTCCTCTCCTCATCTTTCCCTCATGGTACTCTTTTCTCCTCTCCTTTCTGTCTTCTATTTAGTTATTTCTCTTTCATTTATTTCTTTTAATCTTTCCCCTTCACAGGCATAAGGGTAAAGATAGAAATGTGGCTAAGATACTGTTCATGTTAGTTATAAAAGAGAAAACAGTGTCTTTTATAAAGTAACGCTATCTTTGGGCCATGAGAACAGATACAACCTTCTTTTAGACCTTCTGTGCACAGACAGACACTCAGACAAGTCCTTCTCCACGGAACATGGTGTCACATTGTGGTAGTGGCACAAGGTTAGTATGTAAGGGCTAAGGGTGCTCCATCCTGGAAGAGCAACATGGGACTTTCTTACGTGAAGGATAAAGGGAGCCAGTGTCTCACTAGGGAGGTCACTGTGCTGATTGGCTTGACCTAGATATTTTTGAAATTTGTTTTTGAAGCCAGTCTGATCTTTGAAAGCAGACATACCTGAGAGAAAGAAGGGGCTTGATTTCTTCTGAAGAATCTGGGCCACAGATGTTGTGGGTGTCCTTGTGATGAGTTAGCCACCATTTATTATGCAAACTCAGTGTGTTTATCTTGGCACGATTGCCCATCTGGTCGACCTTAAGGGTGTTGCTGCTTCCTGACTCAACTTCCCATTGTAAAAAGCAATCTGACTTTTTAAACCATACTTACCTTGATCTGTCTGAGTTTACTACATGTGAGTCGAGTGGAGATCATTCACAGGTGACACCAAGATAAGGGCCCATAGAAAAAGAAAGGATGAGTGTAAATAGATCATCACAAAAGACATGGGCCTTTAACCCCTCAGATTTCTAAACTGGGGCTCCAGTGTGAGATGGGCACCAATAAAATTGTCCTACCATTTCTGAAAAATCCTGAAGTGCAGTATCTTCTTTAATTAGATTATGGGAAAGAACTTTCTGAAGCAAGGGATGTTAACTGCCATAAATATATTCAGACCTGTCCTTCCCTCAGTGAAACAAACACTGACAAGTACCCAGACAAGTACCCAGACAAGTACCCAGCTCTGGGGCTTCCTCTGAGATGTAGATGGAAGCATTTTATGGGTGATGCTTTAATGA